AAAAAAAAAAATCTAAATAAAAAGTGAATATTTTCTGGGAAAAAAAACATCAACAACAACAACAACAACAACAAGCAAAACAACAACAACAACAACTGCTACTACCACATGTTTCTATATATATAAAATTGGCGTTAAAAGACAACATTTTTTTATATATATAAAAACATCCAATCCATTTCATTTCATTCATTCAACCAACCATCTTTTTTTCGTTCCAACTTTCAAACATACATACCATACTGCAATAAATGCACTGTACCATCATCAATTTCTTCGTATAGGATCCAAACATTTTCTCTTCTCTTCTCTCTTCTCGTTTAAATTCTTCTTTGGCGTCCTATACTCAATGTTTCTTCTTCTTCTTCTTCAGAGTTACATTCTCTCTTTCTCGCTATATAGTAGTGTTACCCATTTACGTATTTCATCAAAAACGCAATAGCATCTTAAAAAATTTCAACAACAACAACAACAACATTGCAAATATCAAAAGGCTAAATAGTGAATAACAACAACAACAACCACTACTAATAATAACAACAACAACAACACGACGTCGACAAAAATTGAAAAAAAAGAAGAAAAATTCATCTCCTGTTGGATGTTTGTTGTTGTTTTTTATTTGTTGTTTGTTATTGTTGCTCTTTGATGATAATCATCATTTTAACCAAAAGTGAAAATTCTTTGTTCATCAATCATCATCATCAGTTTGTTGTTGTTGTTGTTTTTTTTGGGAAAATTAAATTTACATGTATCAAAAACAACAACAACAACAACAATTCAATAAGTCAAAAACAAACAAAAAAACATTCATTCAATTCAGTGTGTGTATTTCGTTTGTTTGTATCTTTGTGTTTGAGTATTTTGGCGGTTCTTAATCATCAAACGAACAGAATATTCTTTCGAAAATTCCCAATCTAAGGTAAGATTCTGTTTAATTCTGTTTTAGATTCTGTTTCCCTGAAACAAGAGCCCGAATTTTCATTTCCGAATATGATGTGAATGTGAATGAAACCAATCCTTTTCCAAAGGATTATCCCGAGTTAATTAGCTTTTTTTCCCCAAAAAAAAACTAATTTCTATCATCATCATCATTATTATCATTTGTCACTTTTTCTGCGTGTGTGTGGGGGGAAAAAGATAAGATTATTAAAAAAAATGAAAATTTAGATATTGTCATCATCATCATCATCACTGTGGAAAACAAAATATCATATCATCCACAAACAACCAACAGAAAATGTCCAAAAAAACACCTTTTTTCAGATAAAAAACTCAAACAAAAAAAGATTAATTAATTTAGCCACCACCACCAACAACAAACGACAACAACCTGTATGGCGATGTTTATTTTTTTTCCCTGGCTCATCCAAAATACATACCTCACACTCAGACACACACACTTCTCTCTCCCAACCATAATCTCTAACCAGCCAAAAACATTATTCATCAAATAATAATATCTCTTTGCAAAATGTCGTCGTCGTTCTTCGACTTTCAACAGCAAAAAAAATCCATAATCAACGAAAGAAATTAAAGTAAAAAAGTACATTCAAAATGATGATTAGGATGATACATTGGAATGACATTATTATAAAAGCTAATAACGCTGCTGCTATGTATTTAAAATTTATCAACATCAAACACTTGAAGAAAAGAGAAGAGAAAGAAAGAAAATCGTTTTTTTAGAAGAAAAAAAAACGTCGCCATCAATTTTTTCAATGTGGTTGATTTGATGATGATGATATCATTATCCTCTCTAATCATATTCAACAAAATAATGATCCACCACCATCGTCATCATTATTTATTCATTTGATTTTTGCAAAGTTTTTTTTTCCAAAAACAACGTGTGTGTTACGGTTTTTCTTTCTTGGGTGAAACTTCTTTTGAAATGTACTTTTTTGCTGCTGAAATTCTGTGAAAACAAGAAATTCCATATGTTTTTCATCATTCAAAAGCAAACAACATTTCTCTGTTTCTGTTTTTTGATTAATTGAATTCAATTGAATTATTACGTCATTTTTGGATTAATTTTTATTTAATTAATAAAAACTAAAGGAAAAATCTTACTCCCACCAAGTGATGATGATGATAATAATGATTCCATTTTGATACATTCATATCAAGTTTTGATTCATTCATTCGATTCATTCGAATTCAAATTCTAGTGATTTGTGTTTGTGTTTGTTATAATTGAATTATAAATCCAATATTTTTTTTTTGCTTGCTGAAGATTAAATTGGATTTTCTTTTCGTTTCGTTTCGTTTCTTTCGGTGTTTGTGTATGTCAAACAAATGTTTTTCCTCTATATTTTCTGTAATTTTTTTTCCAGAAAATCTAGATTTTAAGTAAAAAAAATCAATCAATCGATTGAGAAATCAATTGACGAATTTTTTTTCGTCAATCAATTTTTTCTACTTTTAATTTATGAATATTTTTTATTTGTTATTATCGGTATTTAATTATAATGTTTTTTTTCTGTCTATTTAGATCACCCTGTATACACGCACACACACATTGTGTTTCATACAAGTTTCACACATAATACGGCTTCTCTAATAGTGGAATTCTTCAACATTTTTTTTTTGGATCGATACAAACCGAACAAACCTAGAGAAAAAAATTGATAAATCGAAAAAATCAGGAGAAAACAAAAAGAAATGAAAAGCTACAATTACGGTAGCAGCAGCAACAACAAACCATAATTTTCATTTTGGGGGAAAAATAAATGAATCGAGAAAATAGGTTTGTTTCATCGACAAACACCACTTACGTCTGTCTACGCGGATATTATTGAATTAAATTAATCATTTTTGTTTCTTGGCAGCAGCCAACAACAACAAAGCAATCAAGCAAGCAACTTGAAGAAATTGTCAAAAGACATTGGCATTCAAAAAAAA